TTATTTTTGAAAAAAGTCTGGCCCCCGCCCAGGACCGAACCCACGACCTTCCGATCCGCAGGCAAGCATCTAGCCAAACTCCCCCCCCTCCCCCAACTGAGTACTGGACCCAAACCACTTGTGCTGATAAAGCAGTGAACCATCCACATTAGCCCACATTCATTTCTTATTTCACAAGTGGGAATAAACATGGCTTCAATTATGACAAAATATTATGACATCTTCCTTCAACAGACTCTGGTCACTTGCACACTTGGCTCTACACAAAGTCGCTGTCCACTTAGATGCAACATTCCGTAACTATTAAGTGAAAGGCCAACAACACACACCAGTATAAAAGATCAGATCAACATTCCTTAGCCATCGATGAGAACTGACAAGCATAGGCTCACATGATCACTAAAATCACATGTGTTCTCATCCCATCCCATCCACATGGATAGCTATCTAGGTTGTTTATCTTTTTCCTTTCCCTTGCTCTCTATCCGCCAACCTCATCAGTCATCATCAGATTATCGAGTCCAAAACAGACTATCATTGTCCAATTTTTCTAAACAGTTGACAGTTTCTCATCTGTCTCGAGGAGGATTGCCTACACACATAGTCAACATACAAAATTATAAACAGGCTATCAATTTATACACTGAACGTGAACTTGAAGGCTCCAAGTTCTCATGAGGAATGTTCTGTCAAAAAACTGTCACTACTGTCGGTTTTACCATTCATTTGTTAGGGCGGAATGTTCAGCTTGTCAAAATGTTAATCTCAGGAGTAATAACAGGTGTCTGTGTGCTGTGTTTGGTAGGTAACTTTGTGTGCGTGCATGCATGTGTGTCTATGTGTGCATGATGAGCTATTAACACATGTATTATTTATGATATTCCTATGTTTTGTATGTACAGTGAATTACTGCTGTGTGTGTGTGTGTTTAGTATGTGAGCAATTTGTTGTTACGTGTAACATTTCTGATGTGTATTTTGTGTGTGTGGTAAATGGTTGGAATGTGTGGTTTATGACTGGTATTTGTAGAGACGTGTTAGCTAAAAAAAAAAAAAACACTAAAGTATCATACTGAAAGCTTTGTTTGTCATTTACCAAGAAGACCACACAATAGACAAGAATAGAAGAGCAAAATGTGTGAAGAGTGATAGATTAAAAAAAACAACAACAACAGGTGTTTCTAATAATAAACATAAAATAATTAACAATGCACTAAACAAACTTGAATACAGAAACAAGAACATAGCATACGTTCAGTAGTTATGAAATACACATATTAAGCAAATACTGTTAAAATAATGAACTTACCCTGAAAAATGAAACATCCTCTTCCCACAAATGACAAAATGTTGCATCGATCCTACTCTAATACTGAAGTTCTTAAAAAAACAACCACTATACAGTCAGGAAAAAAATAACTCTGAATCAAATGTCACCCCATCAGCAGACGTCAAATCTGAGGAATGCTGGATCTCATATATGGAATAAAGCTTATGGTGCTGTAAACATATATAACATAAATGTACACATGAGTTACTCAAAATGTATATGTGATAAATACATTTCATTATTAGAGGGTTCATGCAACACTACATGTGATAATATATTTATTATTGAAGTGTCGATGCAACAGAGCACAGCCAATGATGTGCTTAAACCAGAAAGAAAGGATGGTATAAAACTGCTAGAGTCCCAGCCAATAGCTTTAGATCTACGATTGGAAACTGAAAAAGGCAGACAGTACAGTCTGCTTGCTGCCTAAGCATCAGGACTCACGGCAGCTCAAATATAAGGACATTTATTACATCAGTACAACTCTTATTTTAGGACATTTGTTATTTCTAAACAACTCTTATATTAGGACATTTATTACATCAGGAAAACTAATGTACTAGGACATTTATTACACCAGCACAACTCTTTCATGGGGACATTTATTACACCAGCACAACTCTTTCATGGGGACATTTATTACTTTAGGACAACTCTTGTACCAGGACATTTATAACATCAGGACAACTACTGTACAACCTGCAGAGCTGGAGGCAGTCACTGCTGCCTTCCGCTGGCTTGAGAATCAGCCATACACACACGCCGTGATTGTAACTGACTCGCAGAGCATGTTGAGAAAGGCATGCTCCATGCAGAGTGGCAAGCATCACTTCCCAGGTAGTTAACATCCTTTAGAGATTTTCTACAGGTTATGCTGGTGTGTTGGGAAATGAGCAGGCAGATTGAATGGCCGGTTCTGCATCACTTGATTGGTGAACAGTGCGGAGGCACACACAGATCATTATGGTCTGGGGAGAATGGTGCTGTGAGGAGTTACCAATAGATCTGGCCAGCGCTCAACACTCAAGGGAAGGCGAGACGGATATACAATCAGACTGTTACTGGTACCATCGGAACTGGAACTCTTCGCTTGCTGCTGAGGATGGGGATGGAGGACTTATGGGGTATCCTGAGTGATGTGATGTCGATTCTTAATTCAACTACTGTACCAGGAAATTTATTACATCTAGACAACTACTTTACCAGGACATTTATTACATCTAGACAACTACTTTACCAGGACATTTATTACATCTAGACAACTACTGTACCAGGACATTTATTACATCTAGACAACTACTTTACCAGGACATTTATTACATCTAGACAACTACTGTACCAGGACATTTATTACATCTAGACAACTACTGTACCAGGACATTTATTACATCTAGACAACTACTGTACCAGGACATTTATTACATCTAGACAACTACTGTACCAGGACATTTATTACATCTAGACAACTACTTTACCAGGACATTTATTACATCTAGACAACTACTGTACCAGGACATTTATTACATCTAGACAACTACTGTACCAGGACATTTATTACATCTAGACAACTACTGTACCAGGACATTTATTACATCTAGACAACTACTGTACCAGGACATTTATTACATCTAGACAACTACTTTACCAGGACATTTATTACATCTAGACAACTACTTTACCAGGACATTTATTACATCTAGACAACTACTTTACCAGGACATTTATTACATCTAGACAACTACTTTACCAGGACATTTATTACATCTAGACAAATACTTAACTTTTGTACCAGGACATTTACTACATCAGGACAACTATTGTACCAGGACATTTACTACATCAGGACATCTACTGTATCAAGACATTTATTACATAAGTTCAACTCTTGTATAAGGACATTTATTCCATCAGCCAGTTCTGACTGGGAGAGTTGCTGGTGCACCTGGCCAACTATCCTCTAGGACATTTACCACACCTGTACAACTCCTACCTTAGGACATTTATTACAAAAGGACAACTCTTTGATCTTAGGATGTATTTCACATTAGAACATCTCTCAACTGAAGGCTTTTATAACAACAGGACAAGGGATTTTTTTTCTGGCAGTATGCAGTGTTTTATTTTTTTTAATTATGAAAGACACTTCTGGTGAGCACCGGCACCTTTTTTACAGACACTTTGTGGTGAGTACCGGCACCTTTTTCCTAGGGAAAAAGGTTAACAGTCCTGACCAGGGCAGTCCCCATATGCACAATTTAGCCTAAAACAATGGAAACCACAGTGCACCAAACACCCCCAGTGCATCAAACACCGCAGTGCACCACTCACCCCCAGTGCACCGAACAACCCCAGATGAGAGAGAGGGAAAAAAAAAACACCACAAGAATGGAAGATCTCATACTAAATGGAATTTGTTCTAGTGTCGACAAATAATACAGCAATTCAAGAGTGCAGTAAAATTAACACTATTGTTCACCAAGATCCAGAAATAATAATAATGAAAGAAAAAAAAACGCCTGCAGAAACGCATGAAATAAAAATCCAGCATATCATCAATAAATACTTGGTGCTGTCAAAATGTCCCCAGGAAAATGCAGCACTGGCCAACAAAGCCAGTGAATCATTCATCAGTAGTTTTAGGTTAGTTGCGTATCCTTTACAGGACGTTGCAGAACCCACCCCAAAAGCCCCTGGCTGTTGTGTGGTTTTTGTAAGCAAATTTACGTCCAGTAGTTTGCCATTGCTTTCTGGACAGTCGGCTTCCTTGATACCACTGTCGAAACCAACGCAAGGCGCATAGCCCGCAGCTGGGATCGAACCCGACATCCGGCATTACGAAGCGTTCGCATCGACTTAGCCACAGAGCCGACTTCATCAGTAGTTACTTGATAAAAAAAATGTTTTCCCTCTGGAACAGCAGCCTACAATATTGACACCCAGTGTCTCAAATACCCATTATTTTTTTTTATTAGCTTCTATTTAAGTTCAGGTTTAATTGTTTGTTTCGTACACTTTTTGTGTCCGATTTTAATACCATTTCTTGATAAACGATCAGGCCGATAATTTGTAGATGACAATGTAATGTGGTTTAAAAAAAAAAAAAAAAAAAAAAAAAAAACCACAACTTCTGAAATTTCTTTAAGTGGCCATTTTTTGGGGGGTTTTCAAATCAAAGAGGAAATCCCAGATAGCTCAATCAATTGTATAAAGCAAATATATTATGGCCTTTACTTTGATGTATCCCTCCAGTGAGGTTTTGATCAATGTTATTCTTTTAATTTGCCCAAAATATTTCATCTGTCTCTCCCTTTAAAAAAAAATGTTTTCTTAGCAGCTCTTTTCATTCCCAGTCTATTCAAACCTCTGTAAAACCAGTGTCTATCCTAGTTCTAACAAACTGTATAGCAAAAAATATGAAATGTATATTAAGAACCAATTCTCTTCTTTTATTCTCTTCTACAGTGACTGTTCAAATGTCTATTTTTTGTTTTTAAATTTTATACAATTCTTGTTCCATTCATGTTTGTGACAGCTCTTGCTTATGAAAAAATATTTGTTCGCTCAAATATGAGCTGAAAATGTTGTTCTTTTGCCGAGAAAATGAAACCCAGTCAGATAAACTGATTCATACATCAAACTATTGGATATTAATTACGCCGAAATATCTCCTAAAGTTTTTGGGTGAAATTCTCAGGGAAGACTCCCTGGATACCATTGGAAGCCTTGATTCCCATCTGCCATCCTTCATCCTGGAAAAATAAGTTGGAAAGAAAAAGAAATATAAAATGAAAAGTAGATTTAATTTCTGAGAAAAAAGGGGTAGAGGGAAGATCAAAGTCCAGAAGAAGATGAAAGATTTGAACTTTCTGCCAGAGTTTACAGCCAGTGAACACTAAACTTTCTGCCAGAGTTTACAGCCAGTGAACACTAAACTTTCTGCCAGAGTTTACAGCCAGTGAACACTAAACTTTCTGCCAGAGTTTACAGCCAGTGAACAATAAACTTTCTGCCAGAGTTTACAGCCAGTGAACACTAAACTTTCTGCCAGAGTTTACAGCCAGTGAACACTAAACTTTCTGCCAGAGTTTTCAGCTAGTGAACACTATAAACTTTCTGCCAGAGTTTACAGCCAGTGAACACTAAACTTTCTGCCAGAATTCACTGCCAGTGAACACTAAAATAAGGAGAAAAAAAAAGTAAACTAGCAGTCCACAAGAATTAAACAAAAGTTGTATGTTAATGTTTATCACATTTGTATCATCTTTATCCTCGCCCTCCTTCTCCTCCACATCACCACACAGTAACATCTGTGCACTGAAGATAAACTATAATAGGCCTTCAATACCTTCTGTCCTGCGTCTTTTCAGACGTTTTCCACGCCCATCTTTTTATGTTGTCCTTCTTCTTCTCCTCCTTATCTTCACTTCCTTTTTTACTGCTTTTGTGTGGACAGAGGTATAAGAAATGCTTCTTGCTCTTCTGTCTGCACCGACCATAGACACATCATGCTGTTGTAAAGTTTCTCTGATGTTATTTTCCCCCCTTGTTCTTGGCCTATCTTGTGCCCTATAAACCATAACATTTGCTCATTCTATGTCCTTGATGTTGTCCACTCACACAAAATTAGCTTTTTCTGCAAAACTTCCCTCAATTCTTCCATGCTGCACACACATCCTTTACATTCAGTAGTCTGCCCCTGCTTTTTTAACAGTCGGTGATTCAAACCATTGTCCAAATGAGAGCTAGACGGTCTACTGCCAAATTACCTGCAGCTTGAATCAAACCAGGTATTTCAAAGTTGCCAATCATGTTCAAGTTCAAATTAAAAACCCTTTTAATGAACATAATAATAATAAAACACTCTTACCTGCTCTTCAGGGCTATCATAAGGTATGACATAGATGACTTCACCGGCTTCAAGGTCCAACTCATCTAAATCCTCTCCCCGGTATGCGTGGGTGGCCATCACCTGAGACAGCATGAAAACAACTATTTACAACACATGTCAGCAAGGAAACAACCATTTACAACATGTGACAGCAAGGAAGTAACCATTTACAGCAAGGAAGCAACCATTTACAGCATGTGTCAGCAAGGAAGCAACCATTTACAGCACATGTCAGCAATAAAGCAACCATTTACAGCATGTGTCAGCAAGGAAGCAACTATTTACAGCATGTGTCAGCAAGGAAGCAACTATTTACAGCATGTGTCAGCAATGAAGCAACCATTTATAGCATGTGTCAGCAATGAAGCAACCATTTACAGCATGTGACAGCAAGGAAGCAACCATTTACAGCATGTCAGCAATGAAGCAAATATTTACAGCATGTGTCAGCAAGGAAGGAACCATTTACAGCATGTATCAGCAAGGAAGCAACCATTTCCAGCATGTGTCAGCAAGGAAGCAACCATTTACAGCATGTGTCAGCAAGGAAGCAACCATTTACAGCATGTGACAGCAATGAGGAAATGTTTAAATTGTTTCACAGACAGGCCTAGCAAGCTGGCAACATGTTTATTATCAGTGATTGATTGGCATGTTTCCGTCTTTCCAGACGACAGTTTTATACTGCGGTATGAGGAGACATGAGTTTCACAGCCCATGGTGATGCGAGTGTGACTAGCAAGACTCGCTCATGTTAGAATAAGTCTTCCACGATTATAGCCTAGGATTTCAGTAGTTGTCAACATTTGTTCCAATACCAATGGTTCCAGTAGCAGTCTGGTTATATGTCCATCTTGTCTTTCCTCTGAGCTCCGAGTATCGGCCAGATTCCGTCGTCACTCTTTGCTGCATCACTCTCGCTAGACTGCACAATACAATAACCGTACACAATGATAAGATAAAGAAAATGATTGCAGAAGTTTACTGACAATAAAAAGGTTTCAAATAAAATTATTCAAATAAATATTAGAGGAATGTTTCTGTGTTGATGTAAAAACTGGACTTACTTTGTACAGTGTATTAGGAGGGGGGGAGATCACTGGCTCATGGGATCTGTCTCCCCAGTCGATGGCATCTTCGTTGGCCTTTTCCTCATCAAGACATTCTTCATCATTGTTGGCAGCCTGACTGTTAGTGCCGGTAAAAAATATCAATAATAAATCAGTGATAATTACAAATATTAAATGAATGATAAATATGAATACTGAATCAGAAATAAATATGAACAATAAATTAGTGATAAACAGGAAATATGAATCAAAAATAAACATTATTATTAAATGGGTGATGAGCATGATAAACGTGAAATGTATACTCAATGGGTGATAAATATGAAAAGTAAATATGGGATAAAAATATGAAAAATAAATATACGATACAAATTAATACTGAATGAGCGATAAACATGAAAAGTGAATGCGGGCTAAATATGAAAATTAAACGAGTGATAATATGAAAAGTAAATGTAGCCTAAATATGAAAAGTAAAATGTGGGCAAAACATGAAAACTGAAGGAGTGGGAAGCATGAATAATGAATGACGCTTCAACAGTATCAAAGTCCACTGTAAAGGTTTTCCAGCCAAAACAACGAGAATCAGAACATTGTATCTCCCTTTATCTGTGTGGTAAAAGACAGAAGTCTTCGTCTTTCTTCTTTGTATTTACCGGCTGTAAACCCTGATGGAAAGTTCTGGTTGTTCATCCACTAATCGATTTTGATCTTGTTCCAGAACTTGAGTTTGCATGCACACCAGTTTTACAGATCTGGTTTATTTGCATGCATTCTCCAGCAGACACACTTTGACTTCGAAGGAAACAACCCTAATCAGTGCTTGTTAGTGGGGCAGTCGGTCTATCTCCCCCTCCCCCAATAATGGGGCCCCAGAACCCACATGAGGAGAGGGGGGGGGGGGGGCGAAGACGAAAAGTAGACAAATACTCACTCAGTTGATGCATCTTGGCCACTAGCATCAGCAGAAGTATCAGGGGATGTCACCTGAGATTTGACCTCTGATGCTTCTGTATCCTGGATCAAAGAAGACGATGAAACAATTTATAAAGTCACCTAGATTTAAAAATGTGTTCACAGGTGAGAAGACTGTCTTAACTGCCTAGGGTTTTCATCCCACAGGACTTATTCTCTCGACAAGGAGCAACTTTTCACAAAAAATTCAGGAGGGAAAAAAAAAAACACCTCCTACAAAGCTCCAGAAATGATCTTCGGGTTTTCCCCAAGTGGGTTGCAGGGCATTCTGGGAGGAGAAAGAACAGACCTGCTGTCCTCAATAAGTTTGTTGTTTAAGGTGACTAATGAGGGATTTGCTAAAAATAAATGCGTGACAGCCTTGCTGTAAACCCCAACACAATGTACTAACCACCCTACTTAGGTCAAATGCAGAACTAAATTCACATTTGAAATGTTTGTATCAAATGCACACTTTAAATGCACTAAAAAAAAAAAAAAACCCTGGCACCCAGGTCAACCCAGTGTAAAATGGGTACTAGGTAAAGTCATGGGAAGTAAAGTCTCATGCTGACCACATCACCCAGTGAGTGCCGACTGGTCTATAAAATATAGGTCTAGCCCTATTTGCCTAATATGCCTAAGAGTGCGGAAAAGGATCCTTTACTTAGATGTTTGTATCCACCAAACAATTCACATACATAATGATTGTAACTACCAAACAATTCACATACCTAATGCTTTTATCTACCAAACAATTCACATACCTAATGCTTTTATCTACCAAACAATTCACATACCTAATGCTTTTATCTACCAAACAATTCACAAGCCTAGTGACAATATAACAATTCACATGTCTAACTGCTGTATTTGCCACACAGTTCACATATTTAATTATCATCATCAGGTGTCGTGCCAGTAACCACTGGCTGCCATGTTTCGCCACCTCACACAATCAACAGTATCACGGATCAGTTCAAATGTTTTTGTCTGACACCTATCTATCTGGCCAGGTCATCCAGGCATTTATCTTTCTGTCAATATCTAACGAACATATAACAATCCATACACACGTTCTCACTCACACGGGACTGTAGGTTACACTGGGCTAGTGTAGTCATTCTGGAAGCCCCAATTATGAATACTTTGCAGGCTGAACTAGAGATCTGAGACTGCCTTGCTGGTTGAACTAGAGATCTGAGACTGCCTTGCTGGTTGAACTAGAGATCTGAGACTGCCTTGCTGGTTGAACTAGAGATCTGAGACTGCCTTGCTGGTTGAACTAGAGACCTGAGACTGCCTTGCTGGTTGAACTAGAGATCTGAGACTGCCTTGCTGGTTGAACTAGAGATCTGAGACTGCCTTACTGGTTGAACTAGAGATCTGAGACTGCCTTGCTGGTTGAACTAGAGATATGAGACTGCCTTGCTGGTTGAACTAGAGATCTGAGACTGCCTTGCTGGTTGAACTAGAGATCTGAGACTGCCTTGCTGGTTGAACTAGAGATCTGAGACTGCCTTGCTGGTTGAACTAGAGATCTGAGACTGCATTGCTGGTTGAACTAGAGATCTGAGACTGCCTTGCTGGTTGAACTAGAGATCTGAGACTGCCTTGCTGGTTGAACTAGAGATCTGAGACTGCCTTGCTGGTTGAACTAGAGATCTGAGACTGCCTTGCTGGTTGAACTAGAGATCTGAGACTGCCTTGCTGGTTGAACTAGAGATCTGAGACTGCCTTGCTGGTTGAATTTATAGACCTAATGGTCCTACATTATTATTTTGCTTTTCAAAGGACCCTCTCATGCCAGTGGCAAATCAGCTCATATTTTTATAGAACGATCAGGCCTGGACGGGTGATGTGGACCACATCATGCCAGCTGCCTTTACTTCCCCTAATTTCTACTCTGGTACCCAGTTAGGAATATCTGCCTCTGACTCATAAATACAAGACAAAGAATAATTTTACACAACAAATAACAAATACCTGTTTACTTTCTGAGTTGTCTTCTGCATTGTCTTGTGACTGTGAGACATCTAAAATAATAATTTCATAAAAATGATAAAACACAACAAGAACACAAGGAGACATATCAGATATGTTCACAGCAACAACAAAGATGCGTAGCAAATTCTTACCAACATCACGCTACTCAAATCACACTTAAACACTATCAATAATTCAGATAAGACAATTTATTGTGGATCGAAACAGTCAGTCAGTCAAATTAGGCTGGCTGTGACGGAAGCTAACTGCCCTGGACTTCAGAACTACTTGTACCCAAGCATGGTATAAATTTTGCTTTTCTTAATCAACCCCAGCAATCACCCCATGTGTCCTCCTACAGCTTATAATATCAACATGTGTGAGATGAGATGCCCGAGAAAAGCTCTCAATGTAACTACTCGAGACCGAGTAAGAATATCAAGCCCTGAGAAAACACCTTGAACCAAATATATTTAGAAACAGAATAAATGTAAAATCTTGTTAGAATTATCTCCCCATGAAGGATTTAGGGTCTGCTGTGGACAGTGAAGAACAGACCATCTGACCCCCTCCGCAAAAAACATGTTGTAAAAAGTCTAATAAAATTATGTGTTTTTTTTCCCCTAAGTCGCAGTGCATCTGCCTCAGAGGTGAGGAACTAGCAGTCTGCATTCAAATAAGCCAGATCTGGAAAACAGTTGTGCATGTATAACTCAAGCTCCAGAACAGGATAAAATATTGGATGACAGCCGGTCAGGCTTTTGGAAATACAGAAACACTGATGACCAAATCTCTCACACAGGAAACTGAAGATGCTTTCCAGAAAATATGCAAACTGTTAGCTACTTTCTTCGACCTTACCAAAGCCTTTGACAAGGTCTGGAAGAAAGGACTCTTGCTAAAACTAGCACACAGCAGGATAAAAGGGCGTATGTTTGCCTGGATTAGAGACTTTCTTTACAGATGTTACACAAGAGTCAGACTGGAAGAACACAAAATTAAGCGAGTCAGACTACAAGGTGTCCCCAGGGAGGATTTATATCTTCTTTCATGTTTTTTCTCTTCGTCAATGACCTCCTCAAACAATTCACAACTTACATTCACAAGGCGGCTCCATATGCAGATGACCTGGCCATATGGACCCAAGCTAAACATATAGGAACAACTAAAACAAGAATATAGGAAGCTATAAATACAGTTAAGAAATGGACAGACTCTTGGGGAGTCACAATAAACCATAACCAAAACCGACTTGACTCTTTTCTTTCTTTCTACAAAGCTAGAACAAGTTGATCTGTACAAAAGAGGACAACCCCAAATATCTGGGAGTCAAATTGGACAAAAGGCTAACCTGGGGCCCTCACATGGAATACACCCAAAGGGAAGCTACCCTGTGGCTCAGACTTAGGAAAAAACCTTATTGAACAAGGTGCAGATGCCAACATAGTACAACACGTATACACAGAATACGTATGACCAAAACTGGAGGATAACATGGGAGCCACATTGTCTTCCCATGACAATACCTCGGAACTAAATTCAATTTTGAAAAATATATGTCTCGATGTGGATTTGAACGCTACAGTTTTGGGCCTGAGGCTTCATTACGGTGGCTCCCAGATGACAGGAAAATAAGATAAGAGGTAGAAGACAAAGCAGAAGCAAAAGCAGATGAAGAGACAGCAAGTAGCAGCAGCAGAAAAGGTGGAGGAGATCCTAATGAAAACAGACTTTAGCCTTATGTAATAATAGGATGTCGATATGGACACATAACATCTTAGTGAAATATATGGCAGAACCACATACACTTACTTAAACCAGTAATGCTATATATTACAAGCAGTAAGAAAAACTAATATGCCTCTCACCTGTTGCTGCTGATGTGCCATCTACAACTCTATTTTCCCCAGAGCTGTAGACCAAAAAGATAACCATTAAAAGTTTAGAAAGACAGCGTATCTCCATCATCTTTGAGTTCACCTGCTGTTAACTCTGGCAGAAGGTTATGGCTGTTCTTCCACTTCTGGACTTTATATTCTTGTTCCAGTATTTGAGTGTAGCATGCACATCCATTTTTACAGCTGTGGCTTATTGGTATGGACACGGCTGATCGATTGCCTCTCAGACAGATGCACTCTGACTTAAAAAAGAAACCCTAATTAGTTGACCCTTACGACATGCCTGCTGCGGAGGCAGTGGACATATTCTTGTTTTCCCCATAACCCACATGTGGAAGAAAAAAACAATTGGGGGTGGGGAGGGGGAATCCAGAAATCATTAGTTAACCCTGTGGCTCGGTACTATGGATATCGTAACCCCTTGGCCTTGATTCCATAAAAGATAAAAAAAATCTGGGAAATATGTGGCTTTTCTGCCTAGCCCCGTGTGTGAACTCGGACCACAAGGAGTTTGTTTCCCCGTCACCTCACAGCTGGTTTAACCAACCTAAGTTAGTGCACCAGGCCAAAAAAAACACATAAATGTTGCCGGTCAATGTTATAGTTAGATAACCACAATATGTTCCTGCTGAATATTTCAATAACATTGCTAAATGTTAGTCGGATAGCTGCTAAATGTTTCATAAAATATTGTGTCATGTTACAGTAAATTAACATCAGAGCAAAGACCTAATCCAATGCCATAAACAGAATCTGATAATAAGTAAAAGTCAAGGACTGTTTTCCAGACCTTTTGGACCTATAGGGCTAGACCTATATTTTATAGACCAATCAGCACTTGCTGGGTGATGTGGTCAACTTCACAACAGCCGCCTTTACTTCCCAGAAGTTTCCTGGTACCTTTTTTAAGGCTGGGTGACCTAGAAGCCAAGGGCATTTAAAAAAAAAAGTCAGGCTCTGTTGGTTTTGAACCCACAACCTTCAGATTCACAGGCAAGCATCTAGCCGCTGCACCATGATGGCTCCCAAACTCAGATAATGCTGGACCCAGATTTCTAGATCACTGAGAGCTTGATGAATGATGCGTTCTACATGACATCAGCCACCTTCCTTTGTCTTCCAACAAAACTATGTAGTTCCCTGTGTTTACGAGCCTGGCGAGACCCTGGAGCCTTGAAGCATTCAAATCTGAGAGAGTAATGCGAACCCAGGACCTTTAGACCAGCAGGTAAATGAACTGTTTATTGCCTATCATGTCTCCCAAGCTTATATTCAGTAGATGATATTATAATTCAGGCACTTAAATCTAAAAAATTACCTGGTATACGGACACTACTCTCTGAATGGGAAACCAAGGTAAGATAGCTATGCAATAGATAAAATCTCACTGCGGAGTTTCCAGAAATGAAAGAGCCGATAAACTAACTAAGGAAGGTGCAAATGAAGAACCACATCACGTAGCAGTCTCTTAACAAAAGAAGAAAAGAATAATCAAATCAACCAGAAAGCCACCAAAACTGGCACAAGACGATTACCATTTTATGGACAGACCAGAGCAAGTTATTATTCTATGCCTTAGAACAGGACACAGTCGACTTGGCAGCCACATGTACACAACATTTAAGATAGGCGAATCAGCCATGTGTACACATGGATTAGCACCCGAGACAACAGATCACGTCCTCCAAGACTGTCCCAAATACAACATATCAAAGCAAAACTTTTGGTCAAGAGAAACATCAGTGCAAGTCACACTTTACGGGTCACTGATTAAATTACAACAGACAATGAAGTTCAAACTAGAGACAATACTGCAGGTATAGATAATCTATTTCAAGCGAACGAACATTTTATACTTTAGACTGAACATATGATGCAGACCTGCTCTCTACGTGCAATAAAGAGATACCAGGTAATCTAAGGTTGGCTTTACAATGGAAATCAAGCTGTATGGAATAGTGGAAGATATGTGTCGCACTACAGACACAGAGCGGCTGCTGACCTCCTCATCTGAAAACCACAGGCAGGGAGAACAAAAAGAAGAAGACATCCTGGGACTTATCTGCAGGGGAAGACACAGAGAAAACAGATAAAGCACCGCAGAAGGAACTTGACAGAATCACCACATAGTGTGAGGAATTAGGGGCTAAAGCAGAGGCTACAGTGACAGAATCACCACATAGTGTGAGGAATTAGGGGCTAAAGCAGAGGCTGCAGTGACAGAATCACCACATAGTGTGAGGAATTAGGGGCTAAAGCAGAGGCTACAGTGACAGAATCACCACATAGTGTGGGGAATTAGGGGCTAAAGCAGAGGCTACAGTGACAGAATCACCACATAGTGTGAGGAATTAGGGGCTAAAGCAGAGGCTACAGTGACAGAATCACCACATAGTGTGAGGAATTAGGGGCTAAAGCAGAGGCTACAGTGACAGAATCACCACATAGTGTGAGGAATTAGGGGCTAAAGCAGAGGCTACAGTGACAGAATCACCACATAGTGTGAGGAATTAGGGGCTAAAGCAGAGGCTACAGTGACATGGTTCTTACTAAATAACAGAACCGTCAAGAAGTCCACTCTTACTCTGAATATGCGGAGATAATAATGAAAGGTTTTAAAAGGTAACTAGACCTTAAATATGTTGGCACTGACATGATAGATGCCTGTCTTTGACCTCATGTGGATGATGTCATTATAAAGGCTAACAAAGGCCTGAAAGCACTCAGGGTGATGGCAGCAGCCAAGATGGCACAAAGACTATTGCTTATGTTTTATCAGGATTTGGTGCTCTCAGTTATTGACTAAGGGCTTTGTCTACTCGCATTCAGCAGACGCCAGCTGGAATGACTAGAGAAAGTGCAGAATGAAGCCATGAGACTGAGCCTCTGGTGTACAAGAGACACCTCATATTACCGCATGCGATACATCCTCAACCTGCCAGACATGGTCACTAGACACAAGATGGGTAGGGCAAGGGCGTACGTGGGTGTTGCTGCTGAAATAAAACACAGTCTGCCCAGCTGCCTAGAGGTGAACTGAAGTAGGCGCCTAAAGAGGGAACCGTCCAGGATGATGAAAGCAGAGGACACCGTTAGCCTAATTAATCACAACAGCCTGTAAAGGACAACATCATCAACAACCAACAACAACGATGGAGGATAAGCAGTTCAGAAATTTTAGAATATTGAAGATCAAAGGTGTTAAAAAATAAGCAATTAGAGAAAAATGAAAGAAACAAACAATAATTACTTTGCTGTGGATTTTCTCAGTGGCCTCTTTGGCTGGTAGACAAACTGGGCAAAGTCTCTACCCAGTTCCTGGCAGATCTCATTCAATGATCCATCAAGCTGACAGAGAAACAGAAAATGTAACTGTCAACATGTTTTACCAGACAAGTCACAGCTGGATCAACACAACAGTATAACAAGTTTTATGATGGTGTAAAAAATATGGTGACTGCAGCTGCCATGATACTGAGAATCGAAACACAAGACAAAATATTGTCAGGAATCTCAATGAAGAGAAATGTAAAATTCAAACACAATACAACTGCAAGTTTTAACCAAAGTCTTGATCAATATAAAAAAAAAAAAAAAAAAACTAAAATCCTACACCACACAAAGTAATGAAAAAAAAGATACTGACAGAAAATCTATTATGAAACATACACAAATGTGAAAAACCAGAAGAAGAGGTACTCAGAAATTAATCATTAAAAAAAAACTTGCTCTGTTAGACAAAAGAATGCTTAACATTGATCTCAAGGAATGTATTAAGTATATCTGATCAATATATCAAGTACCCAAAGCAGTGGGTGCATAAACCCACACAGGAGATGTCAAGGCCTCAATGATAACCCAATTTATGAGGCTGGGTCAATCCAAAATTTACACTTGCTAGGAAAAAAGAAGCAATCCTGTCGTCAACGGGCATCAAACATGGACTATAATCTTGGTAACCTAGTGAATTAACCACTACAAACACGATAAGGATCCTTTATGTTTCAGCATCAACATCTGTTACTTGAGTGTTGCGAATACGGTTTGTAATTCCAAGATAACTGGTTTGATGCCAGCTGTAGGTGATTTGGCAGCAGACCACTGTGCAATGATTTAGACAGCTGACAGTAAAAAAAAAAAAAAATAAGGTCAAATAAAATTGCCGAGTTCATTCATAAATAGCCAAAAGGTGGGCGGGAAGGTCCTCAATATCCTGTAAAAAGACCAATTAAGTCACACCCTCACTGACTGCAGAAGATATAAATAATACACCTGGTACCTTTACGGACAGCATCATCAGGATTGATGGCCTGAAATCTGTAACAGTACATTCTAAAATCTTTTACTTCTGTTGTCTATTATGTAATTCTGTTATGTAATATCTACACATCTTTAAAATTTTTTGTCTCCATCTTATAGAAAAAAAAAAAAAGGGTCAACACAAAATTTGTCTATAAGCAAAGGAGACATAGAGAAGAGGCTGCACAATTTATTTCCTGGCATAATTATCATCTTATCAGGTGCATACTATGGTAACAACTGAACATAATGAAGCAAACAAACGAATCCCTGACTACTGAAATACAAAATCAAACAGAATTCTAAGGCAAGTCAGTTGTGCAATCTATTGTTTGTGTCTTCTTTGTTCAATGATACAATGTGGAACAGTTGCTCTTATTTATTTATTTTAACAAAATAACCCCAATCTTAATACTATCAAACAAAATATTTATGCAGTTCTATTGTAGCTTGAGTCTGAAAATATCTTACCTTGCTAACTTCCGAATGGAACACATGTTCAGCACTGAAGAAACTTGACAGAAGGCCAGCATAAAACGTCACTCGGCTATGGAAATACAGAAATATTAAAACTTTTATTTTTAGAAATATATGTTTATGTTGAATTTTTAGCTGAGAAAATTTACAAGATTCATGAATACATTCAGCTGTGAAGAATGAAAGATTCACTGAGATATTCAACCATAAAAATATACAAGATTCATTGAGACGTTCAGCTGTGACAACATAAAGAATAATTTAAAAAATACGAAGCCAGCTTTAAAAAAAAAAAAAAATACAATTACATTAAATAAGACTACCTGATCAAACAACAAAAAGAAACAAAAACATAACCCAAAATGAAGAAGAAAAAAAAAAGCAAAGAAAGAGTTCTTCAGCACTCTATTGAGGTTCACTGCTGCAAATATTGCCCACCTCCATTCACCTCTGTGACTGGCCTTTTTATCCCAGTTGGCGACTCCAAATGTTTGCAGTCTGCCTGGATATTTTTATTCATTTTTTAAAAAAAAGTCTGCCTCATAATCTGCTTCCATGCAACTATCAGCAAAGTTCTTGCTTGTTAAGAAGGCAGTAGGTCTGCCCCCCCCCCCCCCCCCCCCCCCCCAAAACGGAGCCCTGAAATTCAGAAAAAACTGGCATGCAAAAATTATGTTTGGAGTAACAATGACACAAAACAATTTTTTAAAATCTTACCTGTTGTTAAAATCTGGTAGCTCTGTGTGTAGTTCATTGTTCAATTCATCATAAATTTTCTTGGCTTCTTTCATTTCCTCTTGAGCCTGAAATGAGATTAAAAAGTAATTGTTTTTATACTGATTATAAACAAAGGTAATTAAATGTATACATTTTAACAGTACTCTCCTGCAGTGACTGAATAAAATCAGTAGCACAGAATTCTCTGGGAAAGTAGAGAATATAAGAATACAGTCCATATCATAACTGCCGGACTAAAGACATGGGAGTTGCCATCGTACGGCGGCTAGACGATCACCTGCTGACCAGAAGGTCGTGGGTTCGGGTCTTGACGGAATCTGACTTTTTTCAAAAAGACCTTGACTTCCAGATCGACCCAGCCTTGAGCGGGTACCAGGTGCAGTCCTGGGAAGTAAAGGCAGGCCGGTGCGATGATGACTACATCACCCATTAAGTGCTGATTGGTCTATAAAATAAAGGTCTAGCCCTATATGCCCAATGCGACTGAAGGCGTGGAAAAGGGTTCTTTATTTACTTTACGTTGATTACATACACACGGACCTAATTGGAGGAAAACAGAACAGAAGACCCACTGCCCCCTTACAAACTTGCCATTACAGGTGACTAATAAAAAAAAGTGTTGATTGCTGAAACTCAGTTGTGTTTAAAAAAAGGGACAGAAAGACAAAAGGTGTTAACAGCATAGCCTAGCTATAAACCACAATACAGTGTAAATGTCCTTTTAGGGCAAACACAGAAGAAGATGAAAATTCCACCAACAACATAGTAATGTTGTAAATCTTTCTAAAGGCAGTAATGACAGTATTATTTGGACAGATAGTGACAGTAATGTTGTAAACCTTTCTAAAGGCAGTAATGACAGCATTATTTGGACAGATAGTGATAGTAATGTTGTAAACCTTTCTAAAGGCAGTAATGACAGCATTATTTGGACAGATAGTGATAGTAATGTTGTAAACCTTTCTAAAGACAGTAATGACAGCATTATCTAGACAGACAGCTACAGAAATGTTGTAAACCTTTCTAAAGGCAATAATGACAGCATTATCTAGACAGAGTTACAGTAAAGTTGTAAACCTTTCTAAAGGCAGTAATGACAGCAATATCTAGACCGACAGTTACAGTAATGTTGGAAACCTTTCTAAAGGTAGTCATGACAGAATTATCTGACAGATAGTGATAATAATGTTGTAAACCTTTCTAAAGGCAGCAAAGCAACCCTCACCTTCTGGATTTTTACTTCATCTTTTTTCTTTGCTGCCTGCAGGACTTCCAAATTATGTCTAGAGTTGTCATAATCTACCATCTTGCGACCTCGCTTGGCTATTTTGGCCTGTCAAGTGAAAAAAACAAAACAACAGTGATCTCCTTCAGTACTAAAAAGGTTAAGTCAAAAATGGACATCAAAGCACTCAGGGCATTCCTATGCATGCTCAGTCCTTATCTTCAGCAGCGAGCGCAGAGTTCCAATACTGATGGTACCTGTCACAATCTGGTAAATGTCCGTCTTGCCTTTCCTCTGGGTGCAGTGAGCCGGCCAGACCCTCTAGTTACACCATGGTGCCTCATTCTCTCCAGGCCATAATAATCTTGTGTCTCTACTGATTCTGTTGCTTTCAGTACTAAATAAAGGAGAGTTAAATTATAATAAATCAACATGTGATGTGTTCTGTGACACCCAAGAGTTAAGGTATCCTAACAGCAGATTCTGATATCGGAGAGATAAATGACAACCTTCATACATACATGATCATGATTCTATGAGTTCACCAGCTACCTTCCTACCTGGAAGGACTTGGGGTGAGCTGCATGCAAGTCAAAGGACAAAATGACTTGGTGTGAATTGGTCTGCAAGGCCTACGCTTCATTAGAAAATAAAGGAAGGCCAAAAAACACATGGAGAAGAGAGCTGGAGAATGAAGTTAGAAAGATGGAGAGGACATTGGAAGAGCTTCATGTAATAGCGAATGATAAAATGACTTGGTGTGAGTTGGTTGAGAGCCTATGCTCCATTGGGGGATAGAAAGGCAGAAAAGGAGAAGAATATTGATAGTCAAGGAAACACAAAGAAAGCAATTATGACATGCAAATGGCAAAGCCTCAGCAGCTTTCAGAAGCTTGAATAACATATGGGACTCTAAATTAAATTATCTTAGAACTAAGTTACATATTTTCAATTCTAATGTTATTTCAGCTTTAACCCATGCTTGTAATAGCTGGAGAACTACTAAGGTGTGTAACTACAATTAAATGCATTAGCAAATGTCAGAGGAACATGAAAATGGAATGAGTTAGAGAATAAGGAAATTTGAGAAATGTCTAATGCACAAAAGAAGATAAGAAGACTGTTCACCACATAGTCTACTCCAGCCAGTTAGGAAACATGCGGTTGTTTCTCTTCCTCTTTCACCACTTTTTTCCCCTCCCTCCCTCTCCATCTTCCTCCCCTAGCCATTTTCTCACTCTCATGTACAGGAACAAAAAGTCTTAATTATTCTTTAGAATATTTCCCATTTTATCCATGAATATCAAGATGGCAAACAGTATTTAAACACTGGCCTACTTAAAGGAATGCTGACACCATTAACTTTCCTTCTTTCTTCTTTGGGGTTTACCCATACAAGTGTGGCTGGCATGCTGTGTTGTGGTTGAAGCTAGACTGCAATATCTGCACCAGTCGGCTCAACACATCCAACTGTGGCAGCCCTTTAATAATTAGTCACAACATGCCTGTTAGGGTAGGGGCAGTGGGTCTGAACACCCCCCACCCACTTCTTCCATTGAAGTAGGCTAGTCTCCAGTCTGTCTATTATGGATAGACTACAATCATTACACAGAAACACTCATCTTCCAGCAAGACAGGTTGTGTGAAGCCAACATACCAAGGTGGCACTATGCACACATGTGTACACTTAGACAGAATCTTTCCTCCCCATGAGGTAGGCTAGTGAACAGCTTGTGTACACCCGATATACTTAACAGCTTACATAGATAAATTCACTTTGTACTGAGGTAGGCTGGTGTAGATATATTCACTTTCCACAGAGGTAGGTTAGTGTAGAGATAAATTCACTTTCTACTGTGGTAGGTTGGCATCTGTGGCTTAGGCCTTGCGAACGAGCTTCGTAACACCGGGGTGCCGGGTTTGATCCCCAATAGAATTCAGTCCAGCACTTTTGGCCTCTCTCAGCAACATTCAACTCAGGGTTTCTCTTGGATGTTCCCACTTCCTGAATGGCTCACAATCCCATTTCAGTGTCTGTTTTGTTATTCTCTGTTCCTCTCTTCTCAGGATGTGTCCAGTACAGCATCATCTTCTCTATCTTATAAATGCAAGCCTTGCACTGGTTCTGACAGTGGTTATGAGAAGTCGACCGTTCGTGTAGAGATAAATTCACCTTCCACTGAGGTAGGCTAGTGTAGGAAAGCATTAACTTTTAACTGAGTTAGGTTAGTGTAGAGATACATTAACTTTCAACTGAGTTAGGTTAGTGTAGGAAAGCATTAACTTTCAACTGAGTTAGGTTCGTGTAGAGATACATTAACTTTCAACTGAGTTAGGTTAGTGTAGGAAAGCATTAACTTTCAACTGAGTTAGGTTAGTGTAGAGATACATTAACTTTCAACTGAGTTAGGTTAGTGTGCAGCCTGAATATAATGAAGAGACTGTACAAACCTTTATATAGAAACTCACCTTAAGTGCAGGAAAGGAGGTGATGTAATTGTTGAGTGGAACAGAAACTGAGTCTTGGAGTGTCTGTAGGCAGTCATTCCACAATAAGTCATAGGTCTGAAAAAGAAAAAAAAAAGAAAAAGAATAAATGCTGGTAACCTTCAGTTTATGTGATCAAAACAGAAACAAAAGTCTCTTATTCTTTCATTTGCCTAGATTCTGTTCTGTGTCAAGTTGTGAAGAGATATTCTGTGAGAAACTTGGTGTCTGCTAGGCTTGCTTGTGGATCGGAGGGTCATGGTTCGGCCAATGACCTTGGCTCTCAGGTTGACCCAGCCTTAAACGGGTACCAGGCAAAGTCCTGGGAAGTAAAGGCATCATGTTGACCCCACCCCCCATCAAGTGCCGATTGGTCGATAAAATATAGGTCTAGCCCTATATGCCTGTAGGCGTGGGAAAGGGTTTTGTACAGAAGTGCTGACCTGACATCCACATCCAGGGATATTCATCCATCCACTGCTTGCACAGATGACCTTAAGCTCTGCCTCTATTCTGTCTGTCTAAATGACAAGTGGTAGCCCTAACTTGTGGCAACCCAAAAGTGACGAAAACTGTGATGACTGCAGTGAAACTAGTATCCAGAAATTAATCCCCTGAATTGTGACTAAGAAGCGTAACAAAGGTGGGGGACTGGGGGGGGGGGGGGGTTGGGGGGAACAAGCTAGTACAAATCCAGCTAACCGACTTCAGACAAGCTAACCGACTTCAGACAAGTTTATAAGAAAAGATACAAAACCAGTCAAACCTGTAAGTGAGCCCTGACTTCTGACTCTCTGGTCCATTCTTGTTCGTATGTTTCTGCAATAGCTGTCGTCAAATTCTTGCTAGCCACACTCATCTCTGAGGAAGTCAGGGAAATCAGACCATAAATATAGAGCAAGCATCACATTAAAAAAGACATAAGACAATAGATGTTACAGCAAGTATGATATTAAAAGGACAGACAATAATTGTATGGTTAGTTGCGTATCCTTTACAGGACATTGCAGAACCAACCTGTGGTTTCTCTAGGCAAACTTACGTCCAGTAGTTTGCCATTGCTTTCTGGACGGTCGGCCCCTTGATACCACTGTCGAAACCAATGCAAGACGCATGGCCCACAGCTGGGATCGACCCCGGTACCCCGGCATTACGAAGCGGTCGCATCGACTTAGCCACAGAGCCGACCAATAAGTGTATAGCAAGAATTATATTGAAAAGGTCATCAGACAGTAAATATAAGCAAGTATAAAATATATTTTAAAAAAAAGGGTAATCCAACTAATGCTGGTGTCTGTGGTTCAAGGGCTATGGATAAAGATTTATAATTCCAATATACCAGGTTTGATTTGGCTGCAGACAACTTTATGCTGATTCTGACAACAGTATGAGCATTGACTGTTCTGGGTAAAGGCAAACTACTGAGCTTACAATTGTTTAGTAATACCACAAACAGCCAAAACAATGCTACAGTTGGTTTTTGATGTTTTGTAAAAGATACCCTGGTAACTTTTACTGAATAATTACAATTCTATTTCAGCGTACAAGTCGGCCTGAATAATTTTAGCTCACAATTCTGAGACCTAGGCCTCATCTAAGGCATTTTATACCTACCATATAAACCAGTCCCTAGTTTTGGAAATCTTGACTTAAACGCCACAATATACAGTAGTGCATTTACAACATTTGATGCAAAAAAGCCCTGTGTCATCTGCATCTTCAAACGCATGCAAAGGGAGGTAATTATCACCAAACACATACAACATACTGACCACTGACAACATCAAACTTACAACATACTGACCTCGTAAACAATTAGCATACATCCTGAGCTCCTTCTGTAGATGGTGAGCCGCATCCTGCAGAAAAATCAAATAATTTTAACATTGATGTTTGGAATTAAACTCAATCTCTTTTGGAGTTAGATTTTGTTTTAGTACACGTACATTGCTGTTGCTGCCTCAAACGCTACCATGCATTCTTACATCAATCCAGTCATCTCCTTGTGAGATGCAATTTTCTGTTTTTTGAAACCCTACTCTGGCTCTTGCCTGGGGTCGCAGTATAGCCCGACCATAAATATGGTCTAATGGCTGAATGTGGTTTCTGGGACCTCTAAACGGGTGATCCTTATCCACATGGTAGCACTTTGTGTCATCAGGTGTTTATCGCTTGTGTGATGTCCTAGTGGGGTAAAAATCTACTACTACCACTGCCACCTCTAATAATGCTGCTGCTACCACTACTAACTGCAATCACATTAACTCTTTGAGTCCTAGGGGGTTTAGTATCACAGGGCCAAGGGGTATTCAAGAAAAATCGGCGCATCGTGCGTTTATTGGGTCTTTAGGTTGGAACCTACGATGCGTTGCTTGGGACTCAAAGAGTTAATTCATTTACTGTGTCGCTGTGCCATTAAATGTCACATAGGGCTCACAGCCTATTTCTCCATTACATTCTATCCAGTGCAATCACTCTGATATCATGGATAGAATCCAGTCCAGCACCTTTGGCCTCTATCAGCAACCTTCACCTGAGGGTTTCTCTAGGATGTCCTCATTTCCTGAATGGCTCACAATCCCATTTCAGTGCCTGTTGGGTGATTCTCTGTTCCTATCTTCTCGGGATGTGTCCAATAGAGTGCCATCTTCTCTATATTATAACTGTTGATACTAACAATTGCCCAGATATTTCTGATTTCCTTATACTTAAATATATTCCATTTTATTTTCATATTTCTCAGACACTTGTTTTTTGAGGCATTTAACTGTAGTTCCACATCTGTAGCAGTTCTCAAACTTTTACAGGCATATGTTCAAGCTGAAATAACATCAGAATTGAAAATATGTAACTTAGTTCTAAGATAATTTAATTTAGAGTTCCATTTGTTGTTCAAGCTTTTAAAACCTGTTGAAGCTTTGCCAATGCATGTCATAATTGCTTTGTGTTTCCCTGAATATCAATATTACTACTTGAATATTTACAATGATCAGTTACTTTTTTTCTCTAGTGTTACACCTGCTTGATCAGCTTTTGGTGTCTTCTATTTATCTGACTTTCAGAATTTATTTGTAGTCCAACATTTGATGCTTTTTTTTGGAGGGGGGAGGGGCGTGGGGGGGGGGGGGGGGGGGGTAAATCCTGTTTTTCTTTGCATGACATTGCTGTTCTGACTTAGCAGAACAGTACCATCCACACAACTGAGAGATCTTCCAACTGTGGGTTCTTCACAAAGTCAACACCGGTGTTTCCAACAGCAGATGTCTTCATCATCCAGCCCATAGCTCTACCACATATTCAACAGAAGTTCTGCTGATGCTCACTGCAATCAAAGCAAACACTACAAAAACTGACAGATTATATTCAACAATCATCTTCATCTCAGAATCTTTGTCTACATTGCTACCAAAATAAGTGCATGATTTCCCATTTCCTGAGGTGAGGTTTCACCAAGGAAGTCTGGGCTTTTATTTGTTTGACATACATATTACCTTTGTCTAGGTTATTATTTACTTGATGTATTCTTATTACCTTTGAGTTTTTCCTGTGAAGTTTTCAAATTATCGTGTCTTCCCATCAGGTATGTTTGGACTTGTTCATGTTAGTCATCTCATGTGCCACCTAATTCCACTATTCACACACATATCAGTTTCAACTGGCCAGAGAAACACTTGGACTTCCTTGCAGGTACTTCCGTTAAGTCATTTTGTGCATTTTCGTTCGTATTTGTAACAGTGTCTAATCATGCAGTGTGCTGCAACATTCACTTGTCATTTTGATAATGTGAAGCCGAAAAGGTCTAACTTTTATTCATTTTAATATCATTTCACAGTACACCTATTCTTCAGAATCAATGGCTGGGAAAGGGATAGTAAGAGCAGTTGATTTTTGAATTCCCCAACACACCACTTCATGAGTTACATCTGTAAAATGGTTGGCTGGGAAAAACACCATTTAAACATTTTCTTGTATAAATCTCTTGCATAATTTAAGCACATTCCAGTTTGGGTACTGAAGAGTTAAAAAAATTATGTGCACACAGGAAAATGAAGCATGTTTAGAAAGATTTTATATAGGATGTTAGCAAAATATTTGAAGCTTGAATAGCAAAACTTTGGTCCAGAATTCCACACATTGTGATTTGTAGAACAAACTGTCAGACAGGGAATGCTAACACATCACTGGGGAATTTTTTGTTGTTGTTAAGAGCATGAAGTAAAAATAAGGGTCAGGAGAAGATTACAGTATGGGTACTATCTGACCTGTGACCTTTCCCATCCTGTGAAAACTACACCAGAAATGTCGCCCCTGCCTAGCGTTCAGTTTTTAGTTTTTTTAAGGTCAAACTTATTTCCATATCTGTTAGAGGATGTTTCTGATTGTAGTTTTAACTAAATAATTGTACATTCAGTGGTTTTACACTGTTTTCAGAAACTTTCAACACTCAAATCTTTCTTTAAATCAATGCAGAGTGTTCAACTACTAAATGTTCTGCACCTGAATGCAAAGCCCAGTATATCAAAATTATGATACAGCACTCATAACCACTAATTACCTGTGTGGATTCCCATTATGGGGAAAACAAGAACAGATCCACTGCCTCCACAACAAGCAGGTTGTAGGAGTTGACTATCCGGGACTTCCTTGGAAGTCGGACTGCATCTGTCCAAGCAGCAAGGAACAACCAACTGCCCACAAATAAGCCAGTAAAACGGATGGACACGCAAAACTCAGACTCTAGCACAAAGCCAAAATTCAAACAAAGTAACAAGCGGGACTTTCAGAGAGAGCTTACAGCCGGTAGTCGAAGAAGAAGAAGATAACCACTAATAGCATTATATTCATACTGCTGCGGAAACATAGTATGCAGTGGCTAGATGTCTGCTTGCCAGCCTGAAGTCTCAGGTTCAATTCACACAATTTTTTAAAAGCTTACAAGAGCTTCGAGGTTGAAATAGATACCAGGAAATGTCAAGAAAAGTATTAGTTAGTTAGTTAGTTAGTTGGGTTATCCTCATTGCACTCCGGACATGTCCATAGGTGCTCAGATCCTCCCCTCAGTATGAACCCCAACGTCCGATGGCTAATAGTACCAGTTCTATGTTGATTAACAAGTCTTCTGGCGTAGCTGGTGTGCGTCTCGTTTTTTGCTGTGCCGATCTTAATTCCCAAGTCTGCCATTCTGGCGAGTGATGTGGATTCACTGCCACCAAAGTCCTCTATCCTTCCCATTTCTCTGAGGGCATTGATAATATCAGCATGATCCATAGGCTGACCGTCGGTAGTGATAGCGGATCCAGCCAACCTGTCAGCTCTTTCATTTCCATCGACGCCTGCGTGTCCCGGAACAAAAATAAAGGTGACTCCACGGACAGTGGACTTCTGTAATGATTCAAGCCATTGTCTTCGCACTGAACCTGCCTGAACCCTCCGGATCATACTCATTGAATCACTGAGTATATACACGCGGGTGTATTTTTGTGTTTCAAGCCAGGCAAGCGCTTGCGTCACTGCCATCACCTCCATCGTCATGCTGCTGGTTGTCATGGAGAAGGCGCCGTTGGCTTCTTTGACTGTTCTGCCCGCTGAGCGTGCTGTAAATGCCCATGCGCTTCTTCTTTGGCGTATAACGGATCCGTCTGTATAGATTATTGCATCTGCTTTGTCTGAATTTTCACCGATGAGAGCGTTGACCTCTGCATTAACAGCAACAGGATTCTCTTCTCTACATCGCCTGTTAAGTGTGACAATACAGGAAAATGTACAAATAAACGCCTGAGGCACAGGTATCCATTCTGCACCAGGTATGATGTCGGTTAGGCTGCATATTTGCCTAATAACATCTTCTGCCCGACCTAGCCACGATTTCCCCCTCTTCAGTCTGTCGCCCTTTTCACTAAAAAGCGCTTGATGCAGTGGGTGTTTCTTATCAGCGCATATTTTGAGATATGCCCGAGCCCTCCACATCCTGATCCTTTGGTTCATTGTTGGAAAGTCAAGTAGATACCTCATTGCTCCACAGGATGTATCTCTTGTACATCCCAAAATAATGCGCATGGCTTCATTTTGCACCTTTTCGAGAAAAGTAATGATGGACAACGTGATTTTGACCACACAAGTGATCTACAGCTGTCTTATGTAAGGTCTTATGTATGGCACTACATATCAGGATGAGGCCATGGTATGAAATGAATGTTTTATTCTTCTTGTCTTTTCTCGACTTTCACTGGCTACAAACTCAGGAGCAAAGTTCTGGTTGTTTATCCACTTCTGGGCTGTAGTCTTTTTCCAGAACTTGAGTTTTGCGTGTACATACATTTTACAAATTTGGCTTATTTGTATGCAGACTGTTGGTTCCTCTCAGGCAGATGTACTTACTTCGACTTTAAGGTATTATCCGCAATTACTAAAATTTTCCTAAATGATTGTTACGGAGGCAGTAAGTCTATTTATTTTTCCTCCACAATGCCACCCAGAAACCAAACTAGGAGATCTTTTATTGTTATAATTCTTTTATTGTTACTAATTACAAGTATAAAGGCAGAGTTTGTTGTGCTAACTATACTTCAAAACAGTCAATGTCAGGGGATATTCAAATGTTGACAAAACAAAACAGTCAATGTCAGGGGACATTTAAATGTTGACAAAACAAAACAGTCAATGTCAGGGGACATTCAAATGTTGACAAAACAAAACAGTCAATGTCAGGGGATATTCAAATGTTGACAAAACAAAACAGTCAATGTCAGGGGACATTCAAATGTTGACAAAACAAAACAGTCAATGTCAGGGGACATTTAAATGTTGACAAAACAAAACAGTCAATGTCAGGGGACATTCAAATGTTGACAAAACAAAACAGTCAATGTCAGGGGACATTCAAAGGTTGATAAAACAAAACAGTCAATGTCAGGGGACATTCAAATGTTGACCCCCCCCCCCCCCCCCCCCCCAAAAAAAAAAGTCAATGGTTAGGGGATATTTAAATGTTGATAATGATGACAACACGAAAGAACTCACATTTGTTGTGCTAACTACAATTCAAAACATTAATATTATGAAACGTTTTAATGCGGACATGGCTGACAACAAGAAGTAACTCACATGCTGCTTCTCAATTCTGAGCACAATTTCATTAAATGGTTCATCTGTGGTCTTCTCTGCTTTTCCAAAGTTCTGCAACACCTGATGATGAGAAAGGTTAGAGTAACAGTTGAGAGAAAAACAAAATTCCAACAAGCCAACAATGTTACATATTAACCTAGCCCATTCTGGCAACATCCGGCTATTTTTTGTTTTTTTTCAAAGTATCCAGAAATCATGAGTTGTAAACCCTTTGGCTCAGTACTATGGATATTGCAACCCTTTGGCCTTGATTCCATGATAGATACCGTAAATCTGGGAGAAATGTGGCTTTTCTGCCTACCCTCGGCCGTGAACGCGGACCACAAGGAGTTTGTCACCCGGTCGCAGCACAGTCAGGTTTAACTGAGTTAGAGAGCTGGGCAAACGGCTATTCCAACAGAGATTAATTCTTTCAATCCCCACCAAGGCACCAGGCATATTGGATATTGCTCATGTCCACCAGTCAACATTTTGCACATCTTGAGTTTAGTCAGGCCAGCTCAATCAATCCAGCAACACACAAGCCCCCCATAATGTGCTATGTATCTGCACCCTGTGTTGCAGTTTACCAATGCCTTTGTTACATTATTACTGCTGTCGGGCATTAGCTATGATTTTCTAGGACTGAAGGAGTTAAAAGACAAATTATAAAGACAACATTTATTCCAGTTTTAGGTTATCAGTGTGAGACTTGGACCTTAACCAAAGAATTTGAGGGGGAAATAACATCTGTGAAATGAGATGTCTGAGAAAGGCTGCAAACAAAACCAGAAGAGATCATGTAAGTGAGTAATAAAAATATTAGGCTATCCTCCGAATAACGGTCCTAAATTATCGAGGTGGAAAACATACCCTAACAGAGCCTCAGTCACATGTCAATTGCGCACTTCCGTCATGCTAGATTGCCCACTTCTGGCGACTTCCGCCGAGCGTATCCCCCACGCCGCTCACACTGCCTGGATTGGGGCTAAACTAGATAGCAGCTACCGCATCTCCTGCAGCTTCCTTTATTTTATTTGCTTGCGAGTCCTAGCCATCTGACACGTGACTGAGGCTTAGCTAGGGTATATTTTCCGCCTCGATAATTTAGGACCGTTATTCGGAGGATAGTCAAATATTATAATAACTTTTGGAACTACACATACTGTTCCATTTTTCACCAAGAAAAAAAAAATAAAAAAAAAAATGGCTGAGTGAGTTGATTCAAGAACCAACATCACCGCACTTGGGGCATTCCCATAAGTGCTTCGATTTCATCTTCAGCAGCCAACGCAGTCTCAATACCAATGGTGCCTTTTGCTATCTGATTATATATCATATCATATATTTATTGTCCATCTTGCTTTTCCTCTGTTGAGCATCCTCACTTTATATAATTAAAACCCATAATTTCATCACTTACACCAACTTGTTCCTGTTTCTTAGAGTACTGATTGCCATGAAATGTATGTTTTCTTGTTCTATCGCCTCTGTTTACTTTTCTTTTGCCCATAATTACAGAACACGTGAACACAACAGCAAAATGGTTTCCTGGGCAAAACAAAACAACAACAATGCTTGAAGCCGCTCGATAGCGACCGGCGTTGGGTATGAGACGAGTGCGCTGATTGTCTGAATAAGGCATTTCCTCAATAAATAGACCAATTCAATTGGTTCTTTTACGCTGTGTGACCAAAAAAAAAAAAAAATTCATTCATTCATTCATTTTCCTGCTCAGGGCTGCCAATACTTTGGTTCCCCCCCCCTCCCCCTCCCCAAGTTCTGGGTTTTTATTTGACCCTTGGGTTCAGATTTTAGAATCTTAGGTTTTAAGAACATACGGATGTGAGCCGTGGACTACCTCCCAATCTTTAAGAAAGGGGCTTCGGAGATGAAATGCTATAGAAAGATTCTCAGATTCTCACCGACAAAGAAGGGAAATAAATCTTGAAATATCTGAACATCAAGGAAGATTAGCTAATAAACAGCATCCTTTCTAAGAAGCTGAAATATTTTAGTCATATCAAGCGCCACGACGGACTGGACAAAAATATAGCAGAAGGCATAGTACCCGGAAGGAGAGGCAGGGGCCGACGGACACGAAGATGGAAACAGGATATAAGTGACTCCTTGAGTATGAAAGTCAGAAACAGATTGGAAAACCAACACTGGTTATAACTACGAAAAAGATTTTCTGAAACATTTGAACAGAACAGACCAAGTCACAGTTTTTCGCTAACGCACTGGACACTGCAGACTCAATAAACACTCACATAAATTAGGAATGAGCCAAACAGCTCTCTGCCGGTGCCTTCGTGCTGAACAGACTCCAGAACATGTCCTGCAAGACTGACCTCTCCTGGAGGAGCTGCGGAGCGACATATGGCAACACCCAGTAGAACTGACAACTAAGCTTTGGGGAAACCTAAGAGACCTTGAAAAAACATCCCAGTTTATGACCCACAGTGGATTATGCGCATGACCAGAGATCGCTGAAGAAGAAGAAGAGTATGAAAGTGCATGAGGCAGGAGAGCTGGTGAGAGACCAAGTTTCTTTCAGGCAGACCATGATGAGAGCGACGTTCTGCAAAGGACCTGCTACATAATGATGATGATTAGGTTAAAAAAATATCCTTATATAAAAGTGTTGCGTTTCGTAATCATAAAATTTGTACTTTTTATCAATCTTGGGTTTTTTCCCTTTGCTTTTTATTTTTTTGCTTGGGTGTTTTGGTCAGCTTATCTTGGGTTTTGATAAAAATCAAATTAGCAGCCCTGATCCTGTTCATTAATAATCCTGATGTGCCATTATGTGCCACATGGGTTTGGCAGTCTATTCCTCAATTTCGTCATATTCTGTACAATCAGTCCGATATCATGGATGGAATCCAGTCCAGCAGCTTTGGCCTCTCTCATTAATGTTTTTCTCAGGGTTTCTTATAAGCTGAGTGGTATCAAGGCATGGTGTCCGCCCCAAGTGCTGGAGGTCCCGGGTTCAGGTCCCAGTGAGGGCTGCGATTTTTTTCACCTGGACTTTAGTAAACAAATTTTCACGTGGACTTTAGTAATGTACTCTGGTCTCTGGATAGTAAGACCGGATGCCTGTGTGTATTGTTGCGCACGTAAAATATCCCTCGCAGTTGGAAATCGAAAAGAGTAGCCTAACGGCGCTGCAAAATTTGGAGTTTAAAGATCTACCCAAAGTAGTTCAGGATCCTCGCCGGTGTTACGGAGTTCGTGCACTGCGCTGAGATTCTTCAGACTCAGGTTTGAGATAGAAGTAGAATGGAGCACTCACGGGTTACTACCCTCGAGCCATGGTAATAATCCATACTATATATAGTGAATAATATGTTACTTCAATTGCTTTTGTCTCTAGTGTTATGTCTGCTTGATCTGTTGTTGCTGTATTCAATATATTTGTCTTTCCATAACTTATGTGTACTCCAACCCGTGATGCTTTGCTTTTCTTTGCATTTCATTGCTGTTTTTACTTAGCTGAATAATGACTGATTCATTGGCACCTTTCCGTCTTTCCAGGCGACAGTGTTATATAGTAACTAGCAAGACCCGCCCCGTGCCAAGAAACGTCTCCCAAAATGATAGCATGGGATTTCAGAACTATTGTTGTCAACATTTGTGTTCAATCCCTTTCTTCTCAGACGCTCAAAACTCTTCTTGTCTGCAATCATTTCTTCCTTCCCTCTCATTCCCTTCCTGATGTGTAATTTCCACACAACATGCCCTCTCCCTGGCATTTTGTTCCCATAAGTCCACCTCAATACCCGTATCATTCATGTCCCGCTTGCACACATTTTTATACCGTGGTAGAGGTTGGCCTCGAAATCTTCTACACTGGTAAAAATGTACGAGTTTCATCTCCACCCTGATAGGCTCACGACAACACAACCTCCCACAAACATTATATACGCCGAGCAAACGTGAAAAACGTAAAATGAACCGTTCTAATATCTCTATTGTGGGCCGCCCCTGATCCCACATGGTCTGGCTGGTATGTAGGTTCTTTGCTACATCTGGCAAACATGCTTCCATGGCGTCGCAGTCTAGGCAGGCCGAGGATCGCCACCCATTCTTTCACAATATCACCTAAAACTAAAGGTGGTAGGTGCATACTCGCTTCGTCCTTCCCTGGCGTCATAGTCACCTCATCCTGTAGGGGACTTCGGTCACAGAGTAGTGTGAAAAGTAGAATTAAATCTCTTGATGTAGAGAGAAAACAAACCTAGCCAACGTGGCTTTCTCTTAGCACTCTCTGTCCTCTAATATTTCACAATGATTTTTGAATTTCTTGTAAAAAAAAAAAATAGTCATAACAAAGTCGATCCCAAAAAGAAATTAACTTTTCGTCTCGTAAAAAAAATATCAACAATTGAGATATCTTGTTCCGTTAATAAACTGACACATTACTGCACTTGTGGCTTTTCCACACGTGCTTCGTCTTCTGCCTCAGTAGCCAACAAATTCCCATGCTGATAAGGGCTGCCAATGGAATTTTTTTTAAAACCCAGCTAATCTGAACAAAAACCCAAGCAATACACAGACAAAGAACAAACAAAAAATTTAAAAAAAAAACCCCAGATAGTTAAAAAGTACACATTTTATAGTTACAAAACGAAACATATAAGGATATATTAAAAAAAAACAACAACCCCAGATTTCAAAATTTGAACCAAAGGCTTCAAATAAAACCCAGATCTGGTGGTAAAAACCAATCATTGGCAGCCCTACGTAGAATTATCAAAATTTTCTGGCCAGATACAATCTCAAACACTAAAATACTTCAAGCCACAAACCAAGAAACTTTAGACAGTATGATTACCAAGAGAAAATGGAAATGGCTTGGCCACGTTATGAAAATGACCTCTGATATACCTGCCAAAACAGCTCTTACATGGACACCAGAGGGAAAGAGAAAACAGGGGCGCCCAAAAACAACATGGAGACGAACGATGGAAAGTGACCTGAGTGCGGCATCTTTGACATGGAAAACTGCACTGAAGATTGCACAGGACAGGAAAGCATGGAAAGTCCTCTCTGAAGCCTCGTGTGCCACTAGGCAT